ACCCCTGGTGGTTAAGGTAAAGCGGATAAATAGATAATAACTACGGAGTACGCCGTACTTAGTTACTTAGTTCGTACTATTATAATGACGGCAAATGACAATGATACGCTGCACGGAAACGCCCTTCTCACGCGATGTCTCTTGCGGGTACGGAGTATTCTGTAGAGAGTTGAGAGAAAAAGTTGAGAGAAAATTAAGAGAAGAGCGTTCGATAAAATAGTGCTAGTAAATATGTAGCATCATTTACTGGGCCCCAACGCAACCCAAGGCAACATTCGGTCATAGTTGCTTGAGGGTCCAACGAGGGTTCGGGCTGGGTTTTCCCCCGGCGCAACGGTTGAGGATATGTATGTAACGCAACTGCTGTGGGGAGAGACTCCGAGAGAGATTGGTTGGGGGAGAAGAGAGTGGGTTGAGCGATGGTGAAGCTGTTGGCCTTGTGTCCCTGTCGAACTTCGGACTATATACTCCGTATTTGATTCCACCTTCACCAGATAACATGTAGATACAGAGATAGATATGGTATTCTGGTGTCCGAAAGTGGAGTGCATTTTTAAAAGTTCCAGTCTCATTCCTTTCACCAACGACTCTTCCTCGTAGCCTGCCACTACTTACTACGAGTAAATAACTAGTTGCTAGTATTTAATAATGGGAGAACGTCACCGGCAGACGGACAGCATTGACTGGCTGACCCTTCACCCATCACAGGAATCAAAGATTAAATATTAACCATCTCTACTGAGCCTGAGCCTGACCGCCGCCAGACACCTGATCCTGTCCGTCTCGTCACTCTCGTGTGCCTTGTTGGCTTGGCCCTTGCTCTCTCGCGGGCTGGAGTTCCCATGGTGCTGCCGTTGTGAGGTCATTCCACTCTGTCGTCCAGATCTCTCCACTCCACGACCTCTTTCTCTGCATCACCACCTTTTAATCCTCCTCCCCATCTTCCCTCTACTATGACAAATAATGCTCCCCCCCCAAGCTCCGGCGGTGGAGCTCCTCCGATTTCCTACCCCTCAGGGCCGTCCTTCTCGTCCATTCCCCGTCGTTCCTCATACGCTTCTGTCGTCTCCGGCACCGCTGCTCTAGCCAACTCCACGACATCCAACCCCAACTCCACCACCAATAACATATCTACAGCTGCCAATACAGCCGCCAACTCCCTAAATCCAGCTTCGACCCAGCAACTCCTGCGCCACCAGCAGCAGCTCCTCCAACTACAGCTGCAACTCCACCATCAACAACAGCATCCGTCGGCCTGGTCAGGTCCACCCCCTCCGTCCTTCCTATCCTCGGCTTCCGCCTCCGCCACCCCAAGCAACTCGTACCCCCCGCACTACGTTCCCCTGGATTCCAGAGCAGCGAGCAGCACCAGACTTTCCTGGCTCGATAATATCCACTACAACAACAGCAACATGCAGACGAATGGTGGTAGTGGCGCGGGGGGAGGAGGGGTTGCAGGCGGGCCAGCAGGTAGCGGATGGCGGAGGTCCCTCCCTCCCACCGGCACAGCAACCTCTCCTGCACCTATATCAGCTCTCCCGCTTTACTCGCGGCAGTTCGCAACTTACCCAGACTATTACTCGCCTTCTTCGTCGTCCTACCCGGGTTTCCTGCATGGCTCTGCTGCTCCCCCCTTCTTCACCCCCTCCTATCTCAAAACCTCGAAATACATAGCCCAGCTCGCCGCAGCTCATAGGTCAAATGCCCTCAACGCCGTTTCCTCGTCCTCCTCCTCCACCTCCTCCTCAGCCGTAGTACGATCGACTACTCAGAAGGACTCCTTTTTCAAGCAACGCCTCAACCTCCATCTTCGCAAACGCCGACAATAATGCAGTCGGCACCGATACGATAACCAGTGCTTACCACCTCCAGTGCCGCTACCATAACGTCCAGGGGGGACCCTCTTCTCTCAGCTAGATCCAGTATGGTAAAACCTCCACCCGCCCTCCGCCCCGTCCCACCGGGGGCATGACCTCACGAGAATC